GCTGGACCGAGGCGCTGTCGGGGGCTCAGGGCGACTCAGGGCTCTGCCAGGTGTGTGGACAGAGCTATCATGTTGCCCATCCTTCCGACAGACGCACCCGTTTGATGGAGGGGCTCTCACGCTCATCCAGTGCAGGCCGCGCCAGTCCCAGCGGTGAGTGGAACTCATTCCTGTGCTCGTCGCGGTCGCTGCCCTCGTGGGAGCTGCTGCAGCTGCTCAGGCTGTCAACAGGAGAGCGGCCCGAGTCCTGGCGGGAGGAGGCGCTCTGGGGTGGTGGTACTCCGCCACCGTAACCCCCCGATGTGCTGCTGGTGCGATCTCTAGGAGGAGAAACAGGTTCGGACTTGATGTGCAGGCTTTGAGCAGAAGGCAGGGACAGATTTGAACCCTGACATAAGTGAGAGCTAGAGCAATTTCTGTAGGAAGGAAAGGAAACGCAAGGGGTTACAGAGTTACAGAGCAAAGAAACAAAGTTGTGTGTCAGTGTGTGGCAGTCAAACATGACAAACAAGCATGCAATCAAGCACGCACACTCCAGCTCATGAACGGGCGGTGGGGGGTGGGGTGTCATGATTGTTTTGGACCTTGTGAGTTCCAGGTTGAAAACAGTGACATGAATGTGTGGCAACTTTTAAAGTCTGGTGATAATTATTGTGCGACACAGCACAGCACATCACACAACACTCACCCGAGCTGGCCCAAAGCTGAGTGCTGCATGTTCTGAAGGTGTTGCTGTTGCCACCCACTCATGGAGCCGAGGTGAAGGGAGCTGCCACTGTTGAAGCCTGACAGGGAGGACAGGTCTGCACTATTCAGGGAATACTCTGTTTAAAGGAGAAGGATGAAAGAAATTGTACATTATAGGTTGTTAAAAGATGCTCTACTTTGCAAACGAGGCAACTTTTCCTTTTAAAACTCGACGCGGTCTTCATTTATGTGACAATACTACCCTCTAGTGGTAGAATAGTGGTACAATATGAAAGTAAACGATGTAACTGAAAGGCTGTTTTTGTTGATGTAAAGTTTTTTACATGTTGATGTAAAGTTTACATAAACAAAAACACCCTTTCACTAACAGGCGGACTGTGGTCCGGGTCCGGACCCAGAAGCTGTGTCATACGGACCCGGACATACAGCCAAAACAGATGGTTACGATTTAAAAACCGGCGCAGCTTTTATAGTCTTTACGGTAGCCGTTTTGTGGAAGGGGAAACCAATTGCTAATTGAATAGGAGTTAATCCCATCCCATGTGATACCAGCCAGTCAAATCTGTGCATTCTAGGCGGTAAACATTGAAAAGTTGCAGCTCAGTCAGATAGGAGTTATCGGCAAGACACGAAAAGACACTAGAGAGAAAACATAAAAACAACAACACAAAACATAGCGTTGCATGTAGCGAAAACCACGGGAGAGACACGGACGAAGTGGACTGCGAAAATAGGGCATTTAATCCAGAATGGTCAGACTCCTTTCTCCTTTCCTTACTGGGTGCACTAAACTAGCGTGTCTCATATGCGCACAAACTGTGGCACCTATTAAAAGTGCCAATGGGAAACGTCACTATGAGATAAAATATAAGTTGTTTGAAGAAACATACCTACTCAAATCTCACATAAAATTAACCGTATTTTTTGGACCATAACGCGCACCAGTTATAAGGCGCATTAAGCGAAACAAAACAGTCTGCGAAACAACGTTAATATCCGAATCAGTCTCGTTGTTGTTAATTAGTTGTTTAGTGATGATTCCGGCCTTCGTGAAAGCTCGGACAGCATTTCAAACTGATACCTTAGCGCAGACATCCACGATCCATTGGCAGATAGTGGCGTAACTCGCCGTGAATTGCCTCCCTGTCTTGGTGAATGTGTGTTCGCCTTCGATCATACAATGCTCCGACGCAGCTCGTAATTTAACTTTGAACGACCTGTTAACACCAATATTTAGCGGTTGGAATTCTGTGGTTAATCCACCCGAAATGATGGCAAGCTCCGAATTAGTGTACTTCACTTGCGTTTTGACAATATAGGGACGGAGATTTGTGGAAAAGAGTAGTGACCTAAGTTGGATACTGGAGGGCGCTGTTGTTCTCCCCTCAAGAGTCAGACGGTTGTCATTATTTTTGTTCTGGATGGTTAACGCTATTGTTGTTTTGACGCTGTTCCGTGTGGAAGTGCGGATGTTGTTTATCCTGTATCGATAAAAATGGAGAAATAAAAAAAATGACTGCCAAGCGTCTGAGTCGTCCTGCACCGCCCCATATCGATATCGAATTCAAAAACACAACCCAGAGTCTCTAGGTGTTAGGAGGAATGGCGCGACGTTGCGCGCATTTGAGTTACACAACCATAATGATAATAATAATAATAATTGTTGTTGAGCATCTTCTAATTGTGATAACTGAGTTAAACGTCATTGTTGTGCTTCAGTTGTGTGCCATCATGTGTGATGCGCTGTGTGGTTTGGTTTTATAAAATCGATTCGAGCTCAGTAGCACAACCAAAAGTATTACATAAGGCGCACCAGGTTATAAGGCGCACTGTCGATTTTTGAGGAAATTAAAGGCTTTTAAGTGTGCCGTATAGTGCGGAAAAGACGGTAGTCTGCGGGCCCAATATGACCATACAGTATGTGGGGAGTTGAATATAAGAGGGGGAGATGTGAGGTTAAATCGTTCAATTGTTAAGATATGTTGATATCTGAATTGGCTCAATTAAGAGTAACAGAGTATGCACATACACACACACACACATACATATCTCAAATATAATTTGGATGTTTTGTTGATATCTGGCATCTTGGTGTTTGGCTGTGTTTGTTAGAAGTTGCAGAGTGCATGTTGTTTTTCCTATAGCTCTCAGACTTTGCTTCATTCATGTCAAGATATTTTTGGAAATTCCATCCATCCATCCATCCATCCAACCTTCCTGCAGGTGGTGAGTCCACTATTAAATAATTTATTTTATGTTTTGAAGTCATTTACTTTATTTTAATGTGAACATAGTGTACATCTCATTTATTTTTTATTTATTTTCTAGTTCAGTTGTATGTTACATGACAATAAATATTGTCAGGAAGTTCTGAATTGTACTGAAATCATTTTATTTAAAACAACAGGTATTGATTAGCTGCAGAATCTAAACAATCTTCAAATATGCGGAAAGAAGATTGATTAGATGCACATGTTGATAAAAGTACTTAAATATATATCACACTAAGTTAGACATTATGATATTCCAGACCTTTGCTTCAAGTAATTTTCTCTAACTGGACCTCTTTTAATTTTAGTTGAATACCCCTGATGTAAACTATTCACATTCAAACTATTTTTTTAAAATTGTTTATACGTCCTTTTTAAAAGTAATAAAAAATAATATCTACCAGGGGTGGGATCAAGTCATTGTTTTGCAAGTGACAAGTAAGTCTTATGTCTTTGTCCTTAATTCCTGAATCAAGTCCAAAGTCAAGACTTGGGGACTTTTTTAGTATTTGAAAAATCTTTTAGAATTTTTTTCCCAAATTTTTTGGTAAAATTCTACTCCCCCCATGTTCTTCAGAAAGTGAAAAAATACGATGGAAATTTTTCAAAAAAGAATTAGAAGTTGTATCTTGTTTGCATGTTTCTCATCAAACGGGAGCATTTTGAAAATGTTTTAGAAAAAAAAATCATTTTCAGAATTCTTCAGTAAAAGCCTATTTTTCCATACCATGTTCTTCACTTGGTGAAAGATTTTGATGAAAATTTTTGGAATGGCAGGTCATGTTGGCTAGATGGTGAGTATTTAATATAAAAAATAAAATAAAAAAGAATTTTGGAATTTTTTCAGCAAAACCCAAAATTTTGGTCACATATGCAAGCATTTTGGAGATATTTGGAAAAAATATTTAGGAAACCTTTTTCAATTTTTTTGTTCGAGTTTTTGTTTTCTGCATGTTTTTTTTTTCAAATTTGTGGGTGTGAAACAATTTCAGTCTCTTGCATGGGCATGCATGAGAAAAATTAATAATAAAGTTTTTGTATAATGTTTTTTTTAACATTTTATCTTATCTGCATGTTACTCATCAAACTACAGCATTTTGAGAAACATTTCAGAAAATGTTTTTAATTTTTTCAGCAAAATCCTAATTTAGCATGTTATTTTTGGTCAGATGACATGTTGAGACATTTTTTTAGAAGTTTTTTTTTTCAAACTTTTACAAAAAAATAAAAAAAGATGTAATTGTTTGCATGGTTCACATCAAATTAGAGAAGTTAGGCTCAAACAGTGGGTTAGGGGGCAAGGTGAGGTACCAGAGGGGTTGGGATGGGAGATAGTTCAAGTCAAGTTCAAGTCTCTTTACTCTTTGACAAGTCAAAAGTCATCAAATTTATTACTCGAGTCTGACTCGAGTCCACACCTCTGATATCTACATAAGATACAAAAATGTATACAATAAAAGCATTGAGAAATTAGTGCATTAGAAATGTAATTAGAAGTTTATTTGAAAGAAAAAACGTATAACCTCAAAATAAAATTACACTTCAACCTTACTTGTATGAAAAACTATTTAAAGTGACGTTTTGGGGAGTTTATGCTGACAAAAGTTGGATTTTTGTCTTTTTTGAAAGACAATTTTATGTCATAAAATGTGAAAATGGCCCATTAGAGATAGACATAGCAATTCTTTTAGGAAAAAGCACCCTACAACCTAGTATAAATAGAAGTCCTTTGTTGTCAAAGGCTAATTCACTTTTTTGTACATTACTGTTCTTGTTCGCAGGAATTGGTTCCATAAAGAGTGCTTAGCATGTCTGCCTTGGAAGCAGAGAGCAGGTAGTCTTGGGTTAAACTCCCAGAAAAACCACATACTTGGCGCCTCCAGGGGGCAGCCTGTGGCAGCAAAGCTGCACTTACATCAATTTCTCAAGTGTGGCATCAATACATTCAAATGATTTATTATTATTATTAGATAAAACACCAAAAGGTGAACCATCCAATAAGGAACTGTTGTTGTTTTAAATGTTGATTTTGCAACAAATCAGACTGATTAGAGTTTCATATTCAAAGTAACTAAAAATACTTGATTTTCTTTCAGCAAAATTGTTTGTGTTCTGTAGATGGTTTCTGTAGGACTTCAACGCACCTAGAAGTATCACATTAAACCAGTTGTCTCAAAAATCATGTGTTTTGAAAGAGAAAAAATTCCGAGATAGTGCATTAATTTCACCAGTTTAAGTACAAAGTGAAAATAATTTAAGGTTAAAAATGCTGCACATTTAAAGATACTCGCTGCTGATGTCATCATTCACTTATGTGACTATGACCTGGTTACTTACAGAAGTAAAGCCATGTTTAAAATGCATATAACATTTGTGAAACAGAAAAGTAAACTGGCTGTGGTACATACCGGTACCATAAGATGTAGAGATGGCAGATGGGTAACCACCCAGGCCTTGTCCTGGTAGAGTGGGAGTTGCTACTGATACCACAGGGGTGGCCAGTGACTGAGCTGACTGAGAGTTGTTTATTCTCTGGTTCTGTGACAGAAGGAAACAGAGAAGGAGGGGAATGAGAAAGGCAGACAAAACAAACAGAAACTGCAATAAACCCATAAAGTTTTTTCTCCTTTTTCTTATTTTCTTTCTTTCACTCAACAGATGCTGAGAAAATGAATTTGATGCCAACGTCTAGGAAAATTAATCATTTGACGTGCGGCATGGCTGAACCCTGCCAACCCTATCATTTACCACCTTTTCTGAGGGCCCACTGTCGCTATAGTAACATCATCAGTCTCCACAGCAACGCAGGGTAGTGACGGCAATGGAGAAGTACTGTAGCAGAGGGGAAGGGTTTTTTAGAAATCATGGAGGTCTGACTCAAATCAATTGTTCAGTACTTTAGAAAAACATTAATCTCTACATTATGATCAATAAAAGCTGTGAGCTTGATATGTGTAGAGACACAGCAGGCAGGCGTGAGGATGAAGTGAATCATGGGGAAAAAAAGTAAAAGCACAGATGATGGCTAAGGCAGAAAGAGGCCAGGCTGCTCTCACACTGAAAATCCACTGGGTGGCAGTCTGTGCCCTCCTAAAACGCTCTGAGAGGCGATTACGCTTCTTCAGCAGAGTCAGCAACAATAAAGGTTAACAGTTACTTTACTTTACTCCAACGCCCTGTTTCTATCTTTACTAAACACAGTAATTGGAGCAAAAAAGTAAAACAAGACCAGAGGTTACAGCCGCTGCTCTCAATTCTAACGGGGATTTAATTTATTTTATCCTCTCACTGCCCTGTATTTGTGTTGATCTTTGAATTTGAATGCCAATCTGACTCACCAACAGCAGGTCCAAGTCCTCAGACTGATGGCATTAAAAGGGGAAGGTGCAGTAAACTGAAATAAGTAAGTGCAACTTTGAATTTCTGAAGTGCTGCTCAGGGGCAGAACTAATAAGAAGAAATGGAAGCTAAGAATTACAGCTACTACAAAACCAACACACCTAGATGGAAATAAGGAGGAACGAAATACAAGGGCCACGAGAACAACAACAACACAGTGTGAAAAATAGTGTGTCAGTTTTGGGCCAAGTCACATGACAATGAAAACATGATGTAGTTTTATCTTAATGCCATCAACCCAAGTCTAATACCAACAGATAAAAGTAGCAAAAAAACCACAAAAAACAAACAAACAAAAAAAAAAAGAGAGGCTGACTTCACCCAACTGACTGGAGGAGAGAACAAGGAATAAAACAAACGATACAGAGATTACTCACAATAGAGGGCATGTTGTTTTTAGCGCCAGGAGGGATGAGCACACGTAGGTCGGGTTTGCGATTGTTCATGCCGAGGTTGACCGGTGGTGGAGACTTTGCCTGCATGTTCTTGTTCATGCCACCTGGAGAGACCAGCAGACCAGGGGAGTTGCGATGGTTTCCATATCCATTTCCTGCGAAGGAACGAGAAAAGAAGATGCAGCGAGACACGGGTTATTCCGTTTTTGTTGAACAGCTTATGAATCAAAGGTGTCGACTATGTGTTATTAAAAGCTGTTTAATTCTTTTTTTTTTTTTTTAATGAATCCTGGAAATCCCGCTGTCCATGATGGTGTAAGTCTAATTAAGAACTACAGGAATCCATTTTCACCTCCTGCTCATTTTCAGGGTTTCCGTTTCATCACTACTTCCTGTGGTAGAACATTTATGAGCTCACCAGTGAGAGGAGACTTAATAAAAATACTCAAACAAGGCACAGACTACTTGTGTGTTTCTTGGTGATCACCACTGTTTGTTTGGCTGTTGCACAGTGAAGGCTTCCACCAGAAGGGGACCTCACCCTGCGCCTCTGTCACTGTCAGTTAGGGCTACATGTGCCCTGCAACAGCCAGTGAATTGTGTAAAAACATCTAATTACGGGTAGCATGACCACAGAGGGATGGGACCCATCATTTGGCCATCAGAGTTAAACACGTGTGGTTCTTCCAGACAAAGACCCTGCATTGGGGTTTTGCCACTAGATCTGCATTCCCTTAAATACAGAGGGCCAAGTGCAGCACCCACTTCTCCCTCCAAAAACTGTGGGGGACAAATCCTAACAACATGTTAAAAAAAAAAAAAAAAAAACAGAAAAATAAGGGGATTCTTACAAGCAACACAGTCTTTGTTTCTAACCCAATCCCACAGGCTGTTTTCCCCTTACTTCTCCCTTCCTTCTTCCACGGGGTAGAACACAGGGCACAGTGCGGACGTTCCCACTTGAAAGACGGGCAGGAATTATACGTTAGACATAAATGAATTTCCTAATCATATACTCCAGGGGAAAATGAGTCGCAGATGTCTTCCTGGGCCATTTCCCTCGCTGATCTTTGTTTAATTTGAGAGCGAGGTTTTTGTTGTTTGGAAATGAAAAGTCTGAGAGGCTTCAATATCAACAATGTGAGGAGCAAACGACCACTGACAGCGAGGGAAAAATGACACAGTGTTACAGTGGACAGTGGAAATCAGTGTGAGCCGCCGTTGTGTTCTTTTGTGTGTTTCTCTGTGAGCATGTGAGCTCGTGTCAGCTGATGTTAACAACAAAGGTTGTTTGTTATTTTACCGTTTGCAGAACATGAATTTTTACTTGTGCCTAATTCTGCATGTCTCCGAATGTACACAAGCAGAATGGGACTTGAGTCTTTGCGAGCCATGCTGTATAAGTACTTGTGCATGATCTGTGCCTATTGATGCACGTGTGTGTTTTGTGTTAGATCTCGTATTGGCAATAAGGCAGCTGCCTCTTCACTTTTTCCCGCTCTTCTTCTTCTTCTGCTACTCCTCAGAGCTGGCACTTTGTGAGATATGAGTGGGTGCATGTGGAGCCAGATGAATAAGACAGCACACACGTAAAAACACAAACTCCCCGTGCACACACACATGCTTTAGTAAATAACCAAGCAGGAAGTACATCAGTGTTTCTGTACAAATGAATAGAAAAGAGAAGGATCTCTAGAAAAACATTAATACGCACTTTGGTCAAGATGACACGGACTTCATCTGGGTTTCATTTAATCAGACATCTGTGTACCGCCACCCTGTGAAGACGGCCGCAGTACGGTCAATTATGTGCTAGATGACTGTGATAATGAGTCACACAGGCCGGTCCTTAAGCACTTCAGAAACTTAAACTGCTAGCTAATTATGAGAAAGAAACAAGAGCTGAAACAAGCCTCAAAACTTTATTTTCTGACATGAACGCTGAAGAACATGGACTGAAATGTGATGCATAACCAGGGTTTATTTGCACAGGCCATCATCGCTGCTGCTCTGCACAGTGGAGCCAAGATGCAGGCTGGTGTCAGCCTTTTAGAGGAAGCACCAAAATTAAACACCACTGTCTCGGCTGTAGCCTGCTTTGCAGCAAACTTACTCTTCGAAAACAACACCTGATCTGAGATTCTGATTAACTGCTTTGGGTTATTTCGGAGGTGTTGAGGGACACCTGAGGTCATAGCTGTGGGGCAGATTGTAAACTGACAAGGAGGCAGGTGTTAAAAGTCTGGTGTACATCAGGACTAACAAATCTCTCTCTCTGTCTTTCTATCTCTCTCTTCTATCTCACTCTCTCACACACACACACACACAGACAGCAGAAGAGGGGTGTGGTTAAACTCAAATTCATTTTAACAGTTACTGAAAATATTTCTAATGTCCTGTTGTGGTCTAACAGGCGCGCACCATGCTATTCCCCATGCAAACACACACTTCCGTTGCGGTTTGGCCAAATGTGCATTCAACTCCAACTGAACGAAGGTGTCACTGGCCTACTCACGCTTACAGCTTGTACACTTGGGACACTGCCAAAGTTCAGACAGACCGATGAAGACTCCTTTTTTGTGCTTGTCGGTTTTTCTGTGAGCTTCTTTAATTTAGAGTGATTTGACCGGAGATTACTTTTAGACGTAGCACGTAGGTAATTAATCTGAGTAGGGAGTAATTGGCGTGTGTGTGTGTGATCAAGGTGAGAGGTGACGGGAGCTTCTTGTTAAATCCCCTCAGTACATTTGCTGATCGCAACATAGATGACAGCTACATAATTGCACAAATGGAGGTGGGAGTTTTTCACATGCTGCGTTCTTGTCTGGAGCTTACTTCATCAGCTTTCTAAACACACACTCACATTCACATGTAAACGTCTACAATTCAAAGACATTTTTTAATATCACGAGCCCTACCATAATGACTCCTGATTCATGATTGACCTCAAAGTCTGGGTTGTTGCTCGATGTTTAACATACAGTGCGTGTTTAAAATAAATGTGCCGACAATGTAATAAATTATCTCTACATAATACTGGAATATCAAATATTAAATAAAAACTGCTGCTAGGCAACATACAGCAAACAGACTCTGCAGACTAGCCCCTGAACCTACCTTAAAAAAAGTCAAAAAAGTGATTTTGTTTTTATTGCAAGCTACAATTAAGGAAATGGAAAACTGACATGAAAAGGCAGAAAGAGTCGTGAATGCTACATCAACAGGTTGTTTACACAGATTTATCATTAACATTAAAACCTATGAGCCCTGATTCACTGCTGTAAAATAAGTTATTTCAACTGAAAAGTTGCAGTGAGATGAAATGTGAATTGCCGCTGGTGAGTAACTGGAAGTGTTTTACATTTCAACCTTGTTAGAGCTGAGATACAATACAGAAAAATACAGCTACAAAGAACATTAGAAAGGCCTCAAGGTCAATCAGTATGGGGGGTTATTAGCCCCGCTTGACCACAGACCCATTCTAAACACCCTCTCAAACCACAGTGTCTGAAAAGTGCTGTGTTTCAGGTTCTGCCTTCTCTAAAAATCTTTAAGTCCCTCTTTTGTTGAATTACAACCTCACAGTCATATCAGAGTCTCCCTAACAATGGGAGGACTTCAGGTGATGCCCTGAAAAACTGTCATTGTCCCTGAAACAATGATTGTAGAAACAAAGGATATGTTTTTGCGTTTATGTCTGAAGCGCAATTGCGCTTTCCAAAAAACAAAAACAAAACACGCATAATCTCAGCTCCTGATTTTCCACTGAAGACAGTCACACACAGGCCAGACATCTATTGTACGATGAGCTTATCAAGACAGGGGTGAGGTGAAGAGAACAGTGCTGGTGGTGCCACAGTGGCTGGGCCACCTCACACTGAGTCACTCAGAGGAACATCATTAAAATGGCTGTGCATGTTCACAGAACACTTCCATCTGTGTTCAACCACTTTTTCTCCTTTGCACACATGCTTCAGCCATCAGTGGATATTCATCACTACGCCTTTCCAAGTCCCCTCCCTCGACTCGCCTCACAAATGAGATTTAAGAGACGTTTGAATGGAATCTTTTACTTCTGACATGACTCTCTCTCCCTCAGCGCCGTGTTTTCAGCTGTTGCTGCTGAGCGACGATCGACACGTACAGTGTGCTTCTGTTCTTCCGACACGTTGACACAAAGGCTACATTTGAATCGGACTCTACAGCTCCCTGTCGACAGAACGCACGCCACAACAAATGGTCCTGTTGTGTTAGAGTGTGTGCGTACGTGAGTGCGATGAGTGACCAGACAGAGATACCAAGCGTTGAACCCTTGTGATGGTGCCCCAGGGGCCAGACAAGGCTGCCCAGCTGTGTCCCATTGACCCCCCTCCATCTCAATTTTTATACTCTGCTCTGCCGGGGCTGTAAAATTTAACCCTTTAAATGGGAGTCTCTTTGTCATAAACTTGGCCGAGACATGTCCTAGGGGACAGATCCATTAACAGACAAACGATAACACATAAGAGTCCTTGCTCCAAAAGCTCACACGTGGTTTGTTCTCTGCTCCGTGTGATCAATATTGCATGGTGAGCTCCAATTTAATTAATACAGTCACAGACATATGATTACTGCCGGACAAGTTCATCTGGAAAAAAACATTTACCCCCAAATATAGACTGTGGGTGTTGTCACTTTTAATTTACACTCATATCCTTTGTTGAGATACAGTAATGGCCTGCACACAGAAAAATTGAGCTATGTTTTCAGAAGTCCATCATCTCTTCTGATTACCTGTCAGTCACTGTGCTGCTCTAGCATGTAGAGCAAATGCAATTGTTTCACCTCATTTGTTTTACTATTCTATAACCGAAAGAAGACAGGACGTTTAACAACCCCCGACACTGAGCAACGCAATCCCCAAATGAACTTCACAACCACTAACATCAACACATCATGGACAAAACCTCCATTTTGGTTTGGGTTACTATTAGTCATACAATTTATGGTCCCAAGTGGGTGCCATGTGTGTGTGCCTCACTCTCTCTTTGTGTGTGTTAACAGACAACTGTTCTTACCGGCACTTGTGCCTGCGCCAGTTGTGAGGTCAGCACCCATGAGGCCACCTGAAAGATCAAAGAGTGAAGAGATTAAAAGAAAGAAAAGCATCAGAGTTCAGACACGTAGGGAAACATCCACTATGCCCCCGTCCCTTACCTCTGTGACCTTTCAAAGAACTCAATTTAATCACCGTTTCACTGTGCATGTGCGTGTTTGTGTGTCAGCGCTGCATGTGTGCACTGATACCAGAAGTAGTGCAGCTTCTTACTCAAAACATGAGCACGATGAGCACTGGACAGTGTGAGTGGATTTATTATACCGGCGTCCAAGAAAAATGACACATTATTATTTTTAAGCCATGTGAGGTGGAACAGTGGGAGGGCACAGAACGTGTGCGGTTTGGTGTGGATGCTGAGAGTGCCAAAACTCATATTTAGTTTATGCTGGCGCTTCCAGCATCCAGTTGTAATGACAGGGTAAGGGTGTGGGCAGCAGCCTGCAGACCAGAGGAACAGAAAAAAGGACTTTGGACAACAATAACAAACCAACAGGCCTGGCTTACTTATGTCACCATCATGGAACCATGTTGATGCCAGAAAAATGTCGTTTTACAGCTTTATCTTGTTTGCTGACAGGAAAACAATAGTAATAGTAATATTTGTTTTACTAATACTGCCCTTGAGTCTGAGAAAAGTCTTCCTGCTAAGAATTAATGATCAGATCAGTCAGATGCTAAGATAGTAGCTCTAGAGACAGTAGAGCTGTCACCATACCCATTCCATTACTATTTTAGTTCTGAGAAAACTCTAAAACCCCTAACAACATGGCATCACTGTCTTCTTTTATTAATACATCAGCCTTCTGACAGTCCCACATCTACAGTGTTTTATGGCAGTTGACTACTCTTAGTCACTTGACCATTTACATTTCAGATAAAAAACTGACTAGTTGCTGAACCCATCTGATTGGATGAATGGATGGACAATAACGACATGCACATGTTTGCATTGCTGTAGGTGAGGCCCTACCTGTGTTACCTGCACTTGGAGGTCTGTGTGTCACTCCAGGAGACATGTTGTTTCTCTGTAGACCATGGTGTGCCAGTGGCAGCAGGTTATGATTGCCCAGGGAACCACCAGGATGGCTGTAAATGAGATTGTTCTGGTTGCTAACAGGAATGGACACGGGCATGTCATAGTTTGATGGGGGCACAGCCTGCTGAGAAAGAAGGGGGAAACAGAAAGGGCAGAGACATGGTTTTGATTAGAATAAAGACATCAATTCATCAATTCAAACACAGATGGACAGCTAAAAAGAGACAAACATGCAGAGTTGAAGAAAAGAAAAACACAAGACTGTGGGTGGTGACTGGGAGTACTGCATAAAGAAGGGTAAGTGCTAAAAAACGAAAGTCCTCTCTGAGTTTTTTTTTTCTCCAAATTGCTCCCAAGATGATATCATATACTGCTGGAAACACTTTGTCATTACAACATGCTGTAGCTTACTGGATGTAGGTTACTTTGAGTGTACTTATAACTTTGTGTAAAGGACTCAGGTTTTGCCCCGCACATGTTGTGACATTTGTCATTGTGAAGGCAAAAGGTTGTTGTGAGGAATTTCTACTGGCTTTTCTTTTCCCTGAGAAGCATTCTTAGTTTCCTACATTTAGGAAATAAAAGGGATATGGTTCACTGGGTGAAGAAACCAACGGCACCCTGCTGCTTTAGAATGCCTCTAAAAAGTCTGCAAGATTGCTCTGCAATGTTAGCACTAACACTTAAGAGCTAAATGCAATTAAAATGTTTATTTTTCTGCTACTTGCAGCCCAATGTAAGCTGCGTTGTATTCTCACTATTGATGTGAGCCTCATCCGGAACATGAGCTTCGGGGCCCCTGGTGTCTAGTTTGTCATGTTTATTGTGTCACTTGGCAGAAGGAATTAACCTTGGGAGTGCCCTGGAAATGGTTGATCCTGCCTGTTAGCTTAAGGATGTAGAAAATAGGGCCCTAAATTACTGCCATGTGTCTTAAACCATGGAGGGAGCGCATCGGAAGGCTCATCAGCTCTGCTTATGACGAAGTGGGATATGAGGTTCAACATAGACTCATGTCTCTAAATTTTCACTCATGCTCTTTTCTTGCCCAAAAAGAACACAATGATGGGCCATATTTGGCCATATTACAATTTGGGCAGTTTTGGACAATTTGCTTTATCTGCATTTTTACATGGATACAAACATTTTTTTCTTCAATAACCAATGAGGTGTATTCTTCTCTTCCTCAAATTATTTGTCCCATCTCAGATTTCTTCCTGGATATTCATACCTTGTTATTTTTTTCTGCGCCATATTTTTAAGAGTGGGGTTGCTGTCTCCAAGTGCACATTTGGCCAAGGACTGGCCCATTTGTGGGTGTGTGGGCCCCCCGGTCTGTAAGTTGTCCTTTAACTGGTGCCATCCTTCCTGTTTCACTCATCTTCCTCTGCTGCCTCTCCCCACAGTCTCTTCAACAGTCCCCCTGCAATCCAGAGGCCCAGTGCTTGGCAGCCACCCTGACCACACAGCGAACTGCCACTTGTTGTGTGCAGAGTCCCCACCCCTCCAACGCTACCATCACCACCACCATCACCCTACTGTTCCGTCCTTGCTGAATCCCAAAGCCACCCGAGCTCAGCAACCCCTGCCTCACCTCTAACCACATCTCCCTCTGCTCCACGTGGCCTAGACACTACTGTTCTTCTCTGAATAAACTACTGTGGAATTATCTCTGTCTTTGTATGGGAAGAGCACTAACCATTTCAATATGGTGCTTAGTGAATGAGGGGCAGGCTAAGTTTACACAGAAAAGCAGCCTTTTGTTTGTGGTTTCTGGCAGATGGTTACAGATCAAATTCCCAGCTAAAACACTTTATAATTCAAATCCAGTTGTGCAGTAATAATTGGGTCTCAAAGTTTCAGCCTTAGTGTTGAGAAAACAATGACAATGGGAAAATGTTAGGTGTGTTAGGTAAGCTTCATAGTTTGTGATTGTCTGCTAAGGTTTCATTGCCCTGCTGTCTGTCCTTGTTGTTGCGGGTGACTGATTGCTGTGTTTCAATGCAAAGGAAAAGCACATGCAGACCACACCCCCCTGGGAGCCAGGCAAGGCATTGTGGGTAAATAGTTCAAGGTGGGAACCCGATGAGGTTCAAATGTGTCGTGAGAGCGAGTCTGCAATTACTATAGCAACAAAGACTGCTTGTTATGGTCATATCATTCTGTCAAATTAGAGGACAGGTCCTAAACAATGATCAAGAGGGAAGAAAATCAAAGGACAGTCATTATTTCTTTCCTTGTAAGTATGAACAGTTATAATCTCACCCTTGTCTTTCTACACTCTCACTTAGTATTTAGTCTGTAGGCAAACAATGGTGGTTAGAGGGGTTAGCGCAACAGTTACTCGCCAGTCAGCGTTTTGTTAGCCTGCTGAGGATGCGTGTTGTAACAACCCAGTACTTACAGGTATCTTATGGGTTTTTATCATGTGATCAAACTCCTCGTTAATCTGTTTGTATTTCTCCTCAGTGCGTGGAGTAAGGATGAGAGCAGACTCGAGCTCCGGGCTCTCGCCGCCTTTGTTCTCCTTCTTGCTCAATGCCTGCCAGGTCCCACAACCACAGAGACGGACAATAGGGAAACACGGATGAAGGGACGGGGAGATGGGTGGTAGGAGCACATGACGGAAACGAGGACGAAGCAAGAGAGCAAAGGGGAAGGGGGGAGAGAAAGAGAGGAAAGAGAGGTGAGAGGAAGGCTTGGGGTTCAATGAGAAGTACTTACACACAGTCTCTGTCTGCTGATCATCAAATCAATGTCCTCGTTTATTTTCCTGTACTTGTCCTCTGACTCGGGGCTATGTCCAACCGAGTCATCTGCGTCGGGGTCTGGGCTGTCACAGCCATTTAGGCCCTTCTTTCTCAATGTCTGCAAACAGAGCAGTTGCACAGAATAGTTGAAGGGACGTGGGGTCATGAACAATGAACCAGGTGAAGCGTCTCAAAGGGATCGATGGCAATGAAGTTTGAGGAGGAGACTTTTAGAATGGATTCCTGACAAAAGATTACATATAATTCATGGTAATGTTAGTTTACTCTACAAATATCTGGAGGAATCTGAACATTTTTAACTTAATTGAACATTTTGTTTATGATAAACAAACATTAAAAAAACAATGTCACAAATCACTTGAAAAAATTAGGGAAATGTGAGCTGAGCAGCTCAAGTCTCAAACAAAGTGAATTAAGAAAAAAGTGCATGAGTAACACACTTGTGTTACACACTTTTCTTAAACCGTTTCTGTTTCAGTTTAAAGGTTCACCTAAACTAAGCGGGTTAAACAAAACTTTAACTTTGCACCAAATTTCCAAATTCTATTTTTTTTATTTCTACATCTACATTTTGACAGGCTTTCATTCTAATCTCCAACAATGTGAGGGTGGCATGAGGACAGGCTGGCTCCTTTGTGACCAAATAAACATGCAGATAAAAATTAACAACCTTTATTATAACCTTTATAATTACACAGGAAATAAAAGACAAGTCATTAAAGCAAATACATATTCTTTGATAACCAACAACATCAGCTGATCACGAAACAAAGTTAAAATTCAACCCACAGGCACTTGGTTCCATGACTGTGGTACAGTACATAGTGTGTGAAAATTAAATGAGGTAGTTTCTGTTTTGGCCACCTGATGGCCACCTGCCCCCATTAGAGTAGCCAGGAAACAGCAGACTGGCAATAAATGCTCTTTCTCTCCGCTTGTGTGAGAGAGACAAAGAGAAGGAGAGGGAGAAAAAAGAAAGCTCTCTCTTGGTCCTTTTTTAGATATTGTTGACAACCATAACAACAGGGATAAGTTTCACCGTACATTACACTGTCTGTTAGCATGCAGCCGTGTTTGCCTGAGCGAACAAGCACCAATAGGTGGTGTGTTCATTTGCCTCGTAATGTGAGAGACAAAGGCAGAGCAGGAGGAGGAATAAAAGTACAGTAGCTGACAGTTACAAATCTCATCAAAGGTACTCCACCTCCTCCACCCTCCCTCCACCTCCTCGCAACCCTCTCACTCATCCACCCTCCCTCTTCCTGGCTTTAATAAAGGGAGATTAGTCTACAGGAGGAATATCACGGGCCTGCTCCTGTCTGTGCAGTCGTCGCTTCACACTGTGCTCTTCTACTTTCATCTGAAGCTCCATATCAGACAGACGTAATTAAATTTACTTTAGCACTCCCTGTATTTGATGCTGATCAAGTGTGTGTGCCTCTCTTCTCTCTTTTTTCTCTCTCTACTTCTGTATATGTTGTTGCATGTGTGTGTGTTCTCGAGCGTGTGTGTAGGAGGGGAAAGAGGGGAATGAGTGTGTGCATGTGTGGGTGTGTGAGAGTGGGTGTGAGCGTCAAAAAGGAAAAAAAAACCTAGGCCGGAGAAAGGAGTAAGATAGATGCTAAGATAAGTTAATCTCGCTGAACTTCTTCCTCATCATTTGTTTGCCTCTGTAAATACTCAGTCACTCATGGAGGAGATACCAGTGTGAGCTACTCCATAACAACCAGCAGCACGAGTGACAGGGAGTGATCTGCTTGCTTAGAAAACAAATAACAAACCAGTCATCTCTCATGTCAGCACAACAAAGGCCTGTTTTGAGTGTGGTTTTAGTGAACTTCCAGGGCCCCTTTTGTGTGTGTATAGATGTGTGTATGAGGAATGTTTGATTCGTGAGGTGTCTGGTGGTGAGACAGCTACTGTAAGTGTGTCAACAATTTGCTGGCTCTCCTCTTCTTTCGTTGAATCCTCGCTTGGCCCCTAGACTAGAAATCTTGGAATTGTGAGTTTGAAAGCGTCTCTCACATCTTTGACAATCTTCAGGAAATCACACCAAACACATCAAGAGAAGCGATGCAGGGGATCTGACTTCTAACAGACCTACGGTGCATCAGGCACTCTTGCTCTATCTGAGGTGGATGAGTCAAAAGAACAAAGGGGTTGCAGAAGTTCAGAATGCTGTCTTTTTCTGGCGATGGCATACGATGTGAATTTCTCGTTTTCCATTTGTGTTTAGATTCAGGTCTTTGGCGATGCATCATATCAAACTGACAAGAGCTGAACTGATCTGTTGGCCTTTTCTCTGTTCACATGAGGATGCATGAAGGAAAAACAAACTTTCCATCCTACTTGCAGCGATTTCCACCACCTACTGTTTGACATCAGACACTGCAGCAGAGCTCTACTTCCATTCTAGGAAGAAAAACAGTGGGGCATAGCTGAAAGACAAGAGCGAGGGCTGGGATAAAAGTGACACCCATAAGGGGCAACATATCTTGTGGCCTGAGGTGGGTAGGGGGTTGGGCAAAGGTTGCATTGGGTGTTGATAGGTTGCAGGGAGCCAGAGTGTGAGTGTTATATGACTTAGAAGCATGTGCTCTGGACTTAGCTTTCCAGGGGGCTCAGCACATTGAGGGTGCGGTACAAGGGCACTATGCCACTCATCCCAGTTATGTCCACCTGTTTCAAGTCTTCACACCTGTTGCCAAGAGCTGACACATGACCCAACAGCCAATAAGATGTGCCGGTGTGCATACAGAACCATAGAAGGCTCTCTCGGTCTTGCACCCTCCACCTCACTACTCTTACCCATCCTTTATACCCCCCCCCCCTTCCTCTTTCTCTGATAGCCTATGAGTAGGTCTGTACCCTGGGAGTCGCTCATCTACTGCTGTTTTAGGCAAGACTATTGTGACATCATCTCTGTTCTGTATTAGACAAATCAGTGATGAATATTTTAACTAGACAGAATAATTATCACTGGGGAAAAAAGAGCTGAAAACCCTGAGAAGTGTACTGAGAAGTACAGGCATGAAAACAGTATTTGGGGAATATGTTAATAAAGATGAAATTGGCCAAAAATTGTGTAAAGATTTTTTCTTTTTGCATAAATACGTTCCACAAAGGTGGAATTATACATTCTGCTCAACAAAAAAGCCATCAATCAAATTTCACTTTGCTCTATATTTTACATAATTTTCACTTATGTTGTTGCTATTTAAAATATATTTTTGTACCAAAGTCATCAGCTCATAGATTTTAAAACAAAAGATAAGTTATGCATAAAGGTAAAAAAAAGAGTTCTGTATATAAACAATTTACCTAAATCTGCATTAAATGGACAACAGAATATTTTTAGTGTTTACACTGACCATTTTATTTCAGTAAATATAAGCAAACTTCAAATCTATTCTTATAACATGAAGCTGAACATTTGCTACACAGTTAAATAAACTTTTGTTTTTTTACGTTTTTTAAAATTCTAAAAGCTCTGCAAATGGAATTTTTAATGGATGACTTGTTCAACTAAGGCGGCCCTGGTCTAAATTTGTTTTCTGAATAAAAAAGATAAGTTATGCATAAAGGTAAAAAAAAGAATCTCCTCTTGTTGACCTGTCACATATTTTCTACAGATCTGGACTGCTCAGTTTTATTAAATGGGCTTTATACATACAAACTCCGTTGTCGTACCTGGAGAGTACAGTAAAGATAAGTAGAAGAGTACAAAAAGAGTGACGAAAGCTGCAAAAAGATATGAATGCTTGCTCGGCTCAGTGTCTTTTTCTCCGTGGCCCCTTTGGAGGCTTGCTCCTAATTAAACTCCTTCTTCATGATGCTCCCTCATGACTCGACTTGTCACAGGGCCTAAGTGAAGCAGGAGAAGCATAGACACAGCGTCCTACATACTAAGACACCCGTCTCATTGGTACCCTTTATTTCTGCACCCTCAGCTGGCTCATCTAAGATATGGGAGTACTGTGAAGGAAACATGAGGTCACAGGAAACAATCAAGTGTTACCTCTTTTATACTCTACTAAATGTTTTAATTGTCCCATATTACATAGCCAGGACATTTTTGAGTGTGGGTGAGAATTTCACAGAGCTCTTTAGCTAACTGTGGTGGGTATTTGGGTGCGAGTTCTGGGTGGCCCCCAGGGGGTCCGCTATGGACGCCTGCACACAGAACTCCTGCCATACCAGGATCCGTCTGCTCGG